TGAATTCGGTTGGGCGGAAGGTGTTCCAACCACGTTCGTGCCGAATCGGCCAAGAACAATGGAAGGTTGCGGATAATGAAATCGTCATTATCCGCTCCACCGGCTTGGCAAGCAAGCCGATAATCCTCGAGCCACAGTCTGGGGTTCGTTTCCCTAGAGTATTTTGGGATGTTGGTTGGTGGTCGGTACCATGGTGGGAATACGACGTTGAGGATGTGTCAGCCGAAGGCCTGAGGTCCCGGTAGGTCAGGGCTCAGGCTTCGGTCCTTGCCACTATCGTAGCATCCACCACGATGAGGGTGGTAGCCGTGGCTAGCCCCTCCCTCGCATCGCCTTGGGCACGCCTGCGGGCATCGAGTGTGTCACGTGCGTCACGATGGCGGCCGAGATGCTCATGCACCAGGACTACGGCGCACGGCCTACCGCCTTGCGGCGCTTGGTCGACTAACGTGTCCTTATCGGGGCACTCTGAGGGCGTGCGCTGGCTAGCGTCGAGCTCGTGTCATTGGGACAATGAGCTATTGGCCTGCTGCGTCGCCGCATGCTCGAGTAGCGTGCGAATCTCACGATGGGCCCGACTATCCTCGGGCGTCATGGGCCCTAGAAGCCCCCAGAGTAAGGCCACCGTAGTAGCAATGTTCTGGCTTGCCCGGGTGAAGTGTGGGAGTGCTTCATCGTCCTTGATGATCCTCTGGTTCATATCGTAGGCCATGGCGCGTGCACGCCCACCGTCTCTGTGGCACTCGATCTCTCGCTCGAGCTTCGCTCATTCCTGCTCGAGCTAGAGTCACGCTTCCTCGAGCTCTTGGTGTCGGGCCTTCAGCTGCTCCACCCGTAGGCGAGGTGGGCCCCCTGCACCCCCCTCGATCTCGTCGTTGAGGTCGTTCGTTGGGGTAGCCTCTTCCTCGTGAATGCTTTCGACGTGTCCCTCGAGGGTACCTGCCATGAAATATTCACGATAGGGGTGATGGCTCCCCCTGCTGGAGTCAGAGGTGGAGGGTGACTCCGTTTCTCCCACGAGGAGGTCGTGAAAAGACTCCGCGACATATTCGTTCATCCCCACGAACTCGTCGTTTCGTGGGGGATGGAGGCGTGTGTTGCGCCACAAGGTGGCCAACGGTCTCTATGGTGTTGCGAAGACCGGACGGGAGCGCTGTTGGGGCGCTCCGGATGAGGTATTCTAGGGAGAGCGGCTCTCCCTCAGCAAGCTACATCATGACGTTGGCGAACGAGAAGGTGAGGTGGCGCAGGTTCTCCCGGGACGGTCGGGGTCCCGGGAAGGCGCCAAGCTGGCGCTCTAACCTCCCGTAGTCGAAGCCGAGGAGCTGGTTGCTCCCGGGGGTGTGGGCCTCTAGTGCATGCAGCTATAGCTCCTCAAGCGCCTCGACAATCGCATTGAGGCTGGCAGAGTGGAGAGGTTGGACGACGACGGGAGCTCGCACCAACTCTCCCTCCGTCGTGATGATGAAGTCTAGGTTCCCGAAGCGAACGTATGTGCCCAGGACCCAGCTCACGTTGTGGCTAGCCATCCGAGGCCTGGTGTGGATGTCGAGACACGCAAAAGGCCCCTACCTGGCGCACCAACTGTCGATGTTTTGAGTTACCACCGATGAGTAAATTTCTAGTATTGCGCGTCTGGCTCGGATGGTGTGCTTAGAGGACACGAGGTTTATACTGATTTGGACAGAAAGTCCCTACATCCAGTTCATCGCTGTTGCTCGTGTTATTAGCACTAAAAGTTTGTAGTAGGGATTACAAACAGGCGAGAGAGGGACAGGTCCCAAGTCTCTAGTGAAAGGAGTGAAAGAGTGCTGAGAGCTCGGTTGCTGCTCTTGTGTATATCTGGATCTGATCAGTTCAGGGTTCGATCGGCCTCTCTTCGTGGGATGCCTTGCTTTTCTTTTTATAGGCCAAGGAAAAGCATGGGTTACAGCGGAGGAAAAGAGAAGAACAAGAGAGAGGAGTCCTTTAGGATCACCGGATCCTTCTTATCCTTCTTGCGGGTCTCGCTGACCTGTAGATGTCAGCAGGGATAGCTCCATGTCACGGCCCTGTCCGTCACTAACGCCATGCGTAGGCGTCGTCTGCCGGTCATGGCATACCATTCCGTCGCAACGGACATCATGGTGAGCAGACGCGCCTATCAGCGTTCGTACGGGGGTTAGGCAGAACAACACTGGTATGCCCGACGCTGTTCTTGATGTGAATCCTTAGGTATGGCCCGTCGTGGCCACGGGTTACATCGGGACATGCCGGTCTCTTCCTTGGTGTCAGAGTTTTGACCTAGGCCCATACGCTTGGACCTAGAGTGGTTGGCGGCGGTACGGGTCTTCGTCGAGCGAGACGAAGCCTGCGGCCTCAGGGTCGGGTGAGGCGGAGCCCACCCCCAGAGGTCAGGCCAGGTAGAGCGCAAACCCAAGGGTCGGACAAGGCGAAGCGCAAACCCATGGGTCGGGCGAGGCGAAGCCCGCCCCCAGAGGTCGGGTGAGGCAGAGCGCAAACTCAAGGGTCGGGCGAGGTGGAGCCCACGGCCTTAGGGTCGGGCAAGGCGGAGCCCGTGGCTTTGGGGTCAGGCGAGGCGGAGCACGCGGCCTCGGGGTTAGGCGAGGTGGAGCTCGCCCCCAAAGGTCGGGCGAGGCGGAGCTTGCGTGCCTGGGGGTCGGTTGGAGCTGTAGTCACGCTCTTGACTGCTTAGATGAATCAGTTTTGATGGTCATTAGCTCCTCCTCTTCGAGTACCCTAGTATTGGTCTCCGACAGCCGTGGCCTTTGTCATCGCCTCCTGATCTCCTGGAGGCATCATACAGGAGTTGATAGCCGCCCCCAGGTCGTCGATCGCTGGGCTTACTTGTGGAGTTGGAGGCCATGGTCCCGAGGTCCGAGGCCATGGCTCCCACCGATTCGGGTGGCCTCTAAGTCAAGGCCTCCGTCGTGGATCCCATCCCGTAGTGGGTACAATCGTACATGTGTCTTGTTGGACCATATTTGGACGGTGGTTTGCCGTACTGGCAGTTACCGCCATGCGGTGTTGTCTTATCTGTGCTGCGTGGTGCAGGGACGACGTCTGATCGAACCGAGGTGACCGCTATCCCCTCAGTCCTTGCGGGGTCAGTGCGGCGTGTCTACTCTTGTCAAAGCGAGCACGCTTGGTCAGGCTCGACCCCTCCCCGTTCCTCCTAGGGGTCGGGGTGACGGAGAGGTCGTGAGTCTCTTGCGTGTCGTGCGGCTAAGTCTGATGAAGGGGTCGTGGCCGACCTTGGCCTTAGCATCTGGTCTGATCCGCTTGGCTTAGCTGGGCCTTGATCGTTTGGACCTTTGCCAGCGGATGTATCGCGGGCCGCTTGGCCCGCTATCTAATCGATGTCTTGAGACACCCGGGGATCATAACCCCGACAGAGTTTGTGTCTCAACTTTTTCATGTGAGTACATATTTGTATGCACTATGAATGTGTCAAGTTTCAAAAAAATTTAAGAGACCAAAATCTTTTTTTTAATAGGTCTCCATGTTTCCACCTAGGAGGTGATTTCAACTCCAAACCTGTATGATGATTCGTATGGATAACCGCACAGGCAAACACTCTGCAAAAGGCCTGAGAACAGATGCCAAACGAACGACGGCCAACATTCCTGTAGGCGAAGTGGAGAAACTTCTTCTTTCTTGTGTCTTCCTCCTCCTTTCTGCCACCGAAGAATAAGGAAGACTGATCTGAAAATTATTCTCCCTAGTCCTTCATCGTGGTCTGATCTAGCCACAACAAAATGGAGAAGAGACCGGAGAAAATTATTTCTTGACGGTGACATCATCTCTGCCTTGATGTCGCCGTCCGAAAAGTTGAGTCTCCATGTCATCAAGTCGAGAAAGTTGCTGACGCCGTTGTCGCCCTCATCTTCTATAGAGCCGCCATGGAGAAAACGAATCCATCCTGCTCCCTCGCCATTGCCGAGGAGAAGGAGGATGAGATAAATTTTCTGTACCAAGAAACTTCGCATGGAGAGATCCTAACCGTAAAGGGCTCAATCTACTAGAAAAACTTATTAAAAATGATAGATCCTCACTTCTTTTGACCTCCGGCGAGATGCCCGATGGGAATGGAGGGGACAGGGGGGCTAGAAATCCATCTACTAATTAATCAGTATAATATGACTTTATAATTGAAGAGTATGCTCCACTTACAACCACATAAAAATAAAAAGAAGTATAATGACCCAGTAGTTAAAATCACCTGGGACAGAGAACTCATAAATTTACTTGGCTTTTGGGTTTACTGGACATTTTGTTAAGATTCTAGCACAGCATTTGTTTATCTTTAAATCAGATTTCAACTCGATGCCACGATGCGCATACTCGATTCTAGCCTACCTGAATTGAGGTCCGAAGACACTTGCGCAAAAAAAAAAAAGGTCGAAAGGCCGAAGTGGAAAAGGAGCAGAGGAATCAGCAAACAGCGACCACTATCAGATGCGGTTTGGGATTGAACACCGAAATTCCGTAATCGTCCAGGGCAAACACGCAAAACGTCCTTCTGCCTCTCTCTGGTTATAATTTCGGGCATTAATTGCGCGTCTCCTCCCCTCCTCTCCTTCCCTCCCACCTGTGTCGCCGCCTTGCCTATCCGATCTGCCACCTCCTCGCCGTCTCGCACGTTCCTTCCCCAACTCCGCAGCGTCGCCGCGATCCAGATCCAGGTACGTCTTCTTCCACCCCCGCAATTTCACCTCCACCCCCGCTCCTCCTGCGGCAATCCATCGCTCGCGTTGTCCCTACTGGGCGACACGAGGGCGGCCACGCCCACCGCCGAAACACTCTCCGACCTGTGCCCCAGCCTGCCGCGGCACTTTCTCCATCTTCCGTCCAGCAACAGCGGCTGCGGTTTTACTCCGTCTGTTGCGGATTTGTTTGGATTGCTGATCTCTCTACAATTTCCCGTGGATCGGAGAGTCCGAGTGATCTGCGTGGATTGGGGAGACTCGGATCAGCTCTGCTCCTTTTCCTCGGTTCTGATGGCGTGGTTGGCTGTTGCCCTGTGCAGGTTGTTCAGCATGGGTCTGGTGAAGGAAGGCGTCGACATGGAGGAGGGAACCCTGGAGATCGGCATGGGTGAGTCACGAGCGACGAGATCCAAGCTCGGGTGCAGTGTGCCTTAGGCTGTTTAGTATTGTGCTTTCAGCTGTTGATGTGTTGCCTAATCATACCGACGCATCACTGGTACTAGCATCATAGCGTGGATATGTAGATATGATTTGCACTTTGAGGAGATAAACAGTTTGCTTATAAATGATCCTAAGCTACCAAACAATATATTGGGTCATCGGCTAGATCAGCTTGGTTGCATTACCAATGCATTGAATTTTATAAACGTGTGGTATTCATAGATAACGCTGTAGATTTTTCTAACAATACATCAACTCACTGTCTCAGGGCTTTTGTTGAACCATACTACTGTAATGCAACAGGATGCATCTGGTTCATTGTAACAATTTGCTTGTAGCTTTTCTCTTTCAACTATGTAACTAGTTGTCAGGTCTGGCACACTTGCTAGATCACACTTTTAGTTTAAAACTAGTTCATCTATTTGCATGTATTGCTTTTCGGGAATTGTGATTCATGTCACGTCCAATGTGGAAGCTTCATGAATTAATCTTGGATATATTGGTCTACATGCCTGCATTGACACATGCCAGTGCCATTATAAATAGAAGACTTTTTTGTGTTGTATGGGTAACAGAAATTTGCCGATCAATGTACTGCATATCTTGGGCTTCTTTTGTGCAAGATGTATGTCTGTTTGAAACCATGCTTTTTAAGGCGACATGTACTAGTTAGTAATTTACTTGTGTACCTGTGCAGAGTACAGGACTGTATCTGGTGTGGCCGGGCCTCTGGTTATCTTGGAAAAAGTAAAGGTGTGTACAGTTTTCTCCAATATGATGCTAACTACCCTGCAGATTTTGAACAGCTCAGTCTGCTAGCCTCCTATGCTCATAGTTCCTTTGCTTGCATATCCATCTATAGGGCCCAAAGTACCAAGAAATTGTAAACATCCGACTTGGAGATGGCACCACTCGCCGTGGTCAAGTCCTGGAAGTTGATGGAGAAAAGGCTGTTGTGCAGGTTACTTCTCCATTCTCTTGATTGTCTTTTAGTAGTAGTTCCAATTTGATGTTGATTCTGCAGTATGGTCAGGTTAGGCCCATTCCCAGAAAACTTAGTTTGTTAATTAACTTCATTATTCATCAGGTCTTTGAAGGAACTTCTGGAATAGACAACAAATACACAACCGTGCAGTTTACAGGCGAGGTACTTCAGCTTGTGACTTTATTTGCTGTTTACTTATCAATAAAGTGTTTAGTAGGCAAAAACACTTTGAACTAGATCATTTCAATTTGGGAATCTAGCTCACAAGGAAAATTTACAAGATCTATGATAAGCACACTTAGTTTCACCATGAAGTTATCTATGATGGATAAGTCATGTGTGGCTGGTCTTTGTGGGGCTGTTGTTGCTCACATGGTCCTTGTGGCTGTTTTTCTGTTTTTAGGACATCATCTTAGACTAGAGGACATCATCTTAGACTAGAGGACAGCATCTTAGCTAGGACAGCATATTAGCATCTTAGACTAGCATCTTAGACTAGCATCTTGGCATATGCTTGGCTGGCTAGCAGCCTATAAATATGTAACCCCAACCCCTCAGGTTGGTATGGCATTTGTGTGAGCTTGTGTGAGAAATAGACAAGAAAATTGCCCCAACTCCTAGTGTCATCCTCTCTCGATGAGAGTAAGAATTCTCCTACTACCAAGAGTGAGAATTCAGCGACTAACAATCTATAGTAGTCATGTTAATTGACAATTGTATAGTGTATACCAATGGAAGAATAAAGTCCACAGATCTACCAGGCTAAATTTAACAGTGATATTGTTTTCTTTATTACCCTGTTTATTGAGAAATTCCTGTCTTGTTTGATTATACAGTACATGTGTTTCTTTTACAGGTTTTGAAAACTCCTGTCTCACTTGATATGCTTGGGCGCATTTTTAATGGTTCTGGAAAACCTATTGACAATGGGCCCCCGATATTGCCTGAAGCCTACTTGGATATCTCTGGTAAGTGATTTCTGGTTCTAGCGTGCTGCTCTACAATGCTCATGGTTAAGTGCATGTTCGTCGTGGAGAGTAGTAGGTTTTAAAATTATTGATTGATTAACAGCGTTAAATAAATGAGTCCATCTTTAAATTTTGTAATTATGTACTCTGATTTTGTTGCAGGAAGTTCTATTAACCCCAGTGAGAGAACCTATCCAGAGGAGATGATCCAAACTGGGATATCCACCATTGATGTCATGAACTCCATTGCTCGTGGGCAAAAGATTCCCCTATTTTCTGCTGCTGGGCTCCCACACAATGAAATTGCTGCTCAGATTTGTCGTCAGGCTGGCCTTGTGAAGACATTGGAGAAAGGAAAGCATGCAGAGGTAGCTAATGTGTCCTAACTGCAACCCTACCCCCTACCCTACCCAAAAACATATTTTTCAGAGTACAAACAGTTGAACATACATCTGAGCTCTTAAAAAAGCAGAGATATCTCTTACATAAAGGTGACTAGGCTTAACATTTCATGACACAACTGAAATTTTGTGCGCACATTGTCTTAAGTTGGATATGTTGTGCCTGATAGTTTTCATATGTTTCAACATCCTGTTCTTTCAAGCAAGCCACAGTTTTCTTTTGGTACACATGTACATGTACTTATTATCTATTTCCTGTGAGGTCAACATTTATATGGAGCATTGTGTATAAATGTATGCTTTACATGTCTAAATGTGGCTTAATCACTGGTTCTGATTTTTAAACCTGCAGGGTGGTGAAGATGACAACTTTGCTATTGTGTTTGCTGCTATGGGAGTGAACATGGAAACAGCTCAATTCTTCAAACGTGATTTTGAAGAGAACGGTTCCATGGAACGGGTCACCCTTTTTCTGAATCTGGTACCTACAAGGACTTGTGAATTTGTGATCAACATTCATTTATCATTTTATATCTACCAAGGGCGTCATAATCAGTTCTGCAATGTTAGATGCATCTTGAACAAAAAAAAACCCACATAATCAATGGCAGAGCTTGAACAATATCTTAAGGGGATCTATCAATGAATTAGGGGGGCCACTAATGATGCATGAATCAAATTAGCCATGGATTACTTTATGTTTATTGAGAAAAATTAAGATCCTAGGGGTGGCCATGGCCCAGGTTGGCCTGAACTATCCTCCGCCCCTGCACATAATGATGTGCCAAACATATTCTACATCTGACATAATTAGTGTATTTTTTTGTGACTGAGACATAATTAGTGTATAACACAGCATATTTTTAACACCTTGATCCTCTCTGTTTTACAGGCTAATGATCCCACCATTGAACGTATTATCACCCCTCGGATTGCTCTAACAACAGCAGAATATTTGGCGTATGAATGCGGGAAGCATGTGCTTGTCATCTTGACAGACATGAGCTCTTATGCAGATGCACTTCGTGAGGTATTGAGTTTTGATATTTTGTGTCATATCTTGTATTTTGAGTCCATATTTGTTTTAGTACCATTGTTAATATATATTTGCCCGTCCTGAGATCTTTAGGGCTTGTTTGGTTGCTAGCCCAGGCAAGGTTGCCTTGCCTGGCCGGGCAGCAATCCAGGTCCAGGCCATCGATTTTGAGTGCCTGGGAGCTAGGATTGCTGCCTGGTTGGCAGGTTGCTTGCCAGGGCAAGGTTGCCAATGCTTTGTGCTGTGATTCGTTGACCCGATTCAATCATTTTTAAATTCATTGATTCATGAATTATCTAGTGTTACTGCACATGGACATTTATTAACCCTCCCTGTCAGAATAAATAAACTACATGGTCTATTGGTGCCACAATGCTTGTATATAGTGATTTGTTATCAAAAGAAATCACATGATTTTGGTAATGCCTGGTGGTAGAATTACAATTTTATTTTGTCGTGACACTTGTTAACACTGCCCTGAATGGCTGAATGGATGCTGGAAATATGTGCTGATATTTCTATTAGCTTCTGGTGCTATTTTGTAGTTCTTCATTAAAAAACAACTCAGAAATGTTTTATTATGTAGTATTACATGTCTCATTTTATATATTTAAGATTAACCTTTGTATTTAGCTAATTAAATGGCAAATTGATGTCATGTTTCTAATAATGCTACATGGGCATTGTGCTTTTCTGTAGGTTTCTGCTGCCCGAGAAGAGGTGCCAGGTAGGCGTGGTTATCCTGGATATATGTATACTGATTTGGCAACAATATATGAGCGTGCTGGGCGTATTGAAGGAAGAACAGGATCCATTACCCAAATTCCTATTCTAACAATGCCTAATGATGGTAAGTAACCATGGCTTTTTTAATCTTTATTATTATAATTGTACTATGTGCCGTATTGTTATTGGTTTTGTACGCTTATCTTCTGAACATTCTGGAGACATTATTATTTGTAAAACTCTTTCCTGATGATGCTACTACTCCCTCCAGTCACAAAAAACATAGTTATCAGGACCAGACTGGTTGTTGAACCAGCAGGGCGTGGTTCACTGTTTCACTGGCTCCACTGTCAAGAACCCTTTCAAAAGAAAAAAGGGAACTGTCAAGAACCAAATTGAACTGCCAGTTCAATAGTTTTGGATTGAATTGAACTGGCCACATCAATAGTTTTGGATTGAATTGAACTGGCCACAAATACATAAGAACCGGTGCGATATATAGTTGATCTTAAATAAAAATAAGCTCATAAATAACACAACTTTATATAACCACACAGCCGGACAGCTACATTGATACATCCCAGAATTCAACTTGTGAATCACAGTTTACACTTCATAACATAGGTTCTCAAGTTCACAAGTCCCAAGCAAGTGCTAAATCGTGGAGCCACAAGTGCCAAGTTAATTTCTTCCCTCCCAACTGCTGCTGTATAACCCTAATGAGATAAAAACTAGACTTTCCAGTTGTACCCCTATATGGATTGTGTTATATTGAAAACAGTCCAGCGCTTTCATTAAAAGCAGTCTGGGCTGTTCGATTGCACAGATGATCTTTTGAGTAAATCAAGCCAGTGTAGTATTTTGTTGTTTTAAATCCTAATAACTATGCAAATAAGTAACATTTAGAGGTATGAAGTTAACACTTCGAAACTTTGGTTACAAATTACATTTTAGTTAGTTAAGTTTCGATGTTTGGAAGTGGTAGAGTAGAATTTTCTCAAATTGTATAGTTTCATAAAGTATGCTTTTACTATGTTCTATAAATGTTTTAACAAAAAGTACTAGTTAAACTCGTGCTTTTGAGATCATGCCAATGTCCAAGGCAGTGGAGGCGAGGCTAAAGATACTTGGTGGTGGAACGAGGAAGTCCAAAGGGCTATTAAGGAGAAGAAAGAATGCTATAGACGCTTGTACCATGACAGGAGTGTAGACAACATAGAGAAGTACAAGGTGGCAAAGAAGACTGCAAAGCGAGCTGCAAGTGTGGCAAAGGGTAGAGCGTACGAGGATCTTTACCAACATTTGAGTACGAAGGAAGGAGAGAAGGACATTTATAGGATGGTTAGGGTTCGTGAGATAAAGATAAGTGACTTCAACCAAGTTAAGTGCATTAAGGATGAAAGGGAGCATCTCTTGGTGAAGGAGGATGAGATCCGACATCGATGGCAAGAGTATTTTGACAAATTGTTCATTGGTGAGGATACGGACACAACCTTTCAGTTGGATGACTCTTTTGATGACATCAATAGGCGCTTTGTGCGGAGAATCCAAGAATTTGAGGTTAGAGAGGCGTTGAAAAGGATGAAAGGAGGTAAGGCGATGGGACCGGATGGTATCCCAATCGAGGTGTGGAGATGCCTCGGGGACATAGCTATAGTATGGCTAACCAAGCTGTTCAACCATATTTTTCGATCGAACAAGATGTCTGACGAGTGGAGGAGAAGTATATTGGTACCGATCTACAAGAATAAATGAGATATTCAAAGTTGTACTAATTACCGGGGAATTTAGTTGATGAGCCATACTATGAAGCTATGGGAGAGAGTTATCGAGCATCGCTTGAGAGCAATAACACGGGTCTCTATGAACCAATTTGGTTTCATGCCCGGAAGGTCAACCATGGAAGCCATTTTTTTAATAAGACAAGTTATGGAGCGGTATAGGTTGAAGAAGAAGGACCTACGCATGGTTTTTATTGACTTGGAGAAGGCTTATGATAAAATATCAAGAAATGTTATGTGGTGGACTTTGGACAAACATAAAGTCCCAACGAAGTACCTCGGGCTCGTTAAGGACATGTACAATAATGTTGTGACTAGTGTTCGAACAAGTGATGGAGACACGGATGACTTCCCGATTAGGATAGGACTACATCAAGGGTCAGCTTTGAGCCCTTATCTGTTTGCCTTAGTGATGGATGAGGTCACAAGGGACATACAAGGGGACATCCCTTGGTGTATGCTTTTAACGGACGATGTAGTGCTAGTTGATGAAAGCCGGATATGAGTGAATCAGAAACTGGAGTTATGGCGGGAGACTTTGGAGTCCAAAGGTTTTAGACTCAGTAGAACTAAAACTGAGTATATGAGATGTGACTTCGGCACTACTACTCGGGAGGAGGAAGATAGTAGTTTAGAAGGTCAAGTAGTGCCTAGGAAGGATACCTTTCGATATTTATGATCAATGCTATAGATAGACGGGGATATTGATGAAGATGTTAGCCATAGAATCAAAGCAGGGTGGATGAAGTGGCGCCAATCATCTGGTGTCCTATGTGACAAAAGGGTACCACAGAAGCTAAAAGGCAAGTTTTATAGGACGACGATTAGACCTGCTATGTTGTATGGTGCAGAATGTTGGCCTACGAAAAGATGACATGTTCAACAGATAAGTGTCGTGGAAATACGTATGTTGCGTTTGATTTGCGGTCATACAAGAAGGGATCGAGTTCGGAACGATGATATACGTGATAGATTAGGGGTAGCACCAATTGAAGAAAAACTTGTCAACACCGGTTGAGATGGTTTGGACATGTCCAACGGAGACCTCCAGAGGCACCGGTGCGTAGTGGAATCCTAAGCCAGGATAGTAACATGAAGAGAGACAGAGGAAGACAAAAGTTGACTTGGGTAGAGGCAATAAAATAAGACTTGAAAGGATGGAATACCTAAAGACTTAGCCTTAGATAGGAGTGCTTGGAAAACAGCTATTCACGTGCCTGAACCTTGATTGCTTCTGCTGGGTTTCAACTCTAGCCTACCCCAACTTGTTTGGGACTTAAAGGCTTTGTTGTTGTTGTTGTTGTTGTGTCATGTCCAAGGCGCCAAGTAGTAATAGTTATGAATTGTGTTACAATCAAGTATGTGCAGTTGTCCTTATGCAGCATGAATCATTTTTGCTTATTTTGGTCTGAGTGCACAATCTACTGAAGTATGTGGTCTTATCATTTTTTTTTGTCCCAGTAGACCATTTTTAGCATGTTGGTCGCATGATTTATTTACCATCTATTTCATTTTGTTGTCCATTTAACACAAGTATACCATGTCTAATATTGTAATCTACTCCTAAAACAGATATCACACACCCAACTCCCGACCTTACTGGATACATTACTGAGGGACAGATATACATTGATAGGCAGCTCCATAACAGACAGGTGCTTTTCGGTGCCTTTTATTCTTGAGTTATCAAATGTTACACCTTCACATGGGGCAGCTCTGGAATTATTTATAAATAATTTAGCATTTGTTATTTTTTCTCATATTGATATAGAATGTGAAGTATTTGTTTATTTTTTACTACCTTGATAGCTTATATGTGTTGATGTGATGACATTATATTTCTTTCAGATTTATCCACCTATTAATGTCCTGCCATCTCTTTCTCGATTGATGAAGGTAAGATAAGTTTTCTGTATGTTTTCAGCGTTTATGTTGAAGGTTAGTTCTAAGAACCACTTAATGACTCCTGCAGAGTGCTATTGGTGAGGGCATGACACGTCGAGACCATTCGGATGTGTCTAATCAGGTACCTATTATGAGTCCATAGGCTTTTTTTTTATGACAAGGGAGTCCATGGGCTTTTGTTTTCCTTCAGCCATGATGTGTAAGATGAATTGACGTCTACTGTTTTCTGTTCAGCTTTATGCCAACTATGCAATTGGAAAGGATGTTCAGGCCATGAAGGCAGTCGTTGGAGAGGAGGCACTGTCGTCTGAGGATCTGGTCTGTTGCGAGTAAAATAAATTCGTAAGTTAGTGCTTTTTCAGACGTCCAAAACCTAATGTTCTGTTCCTTCTTGCACAGCTTTACTTAGAGTTCCTTGACAAGTTTGAGAGGAAGTTTGTGACACAAGGAGCATACGACACACGGAACATCTTCCAGTCACTCGATCTCGCATGGACATTGCTTCGTATCTTCCCTCGCGAACTTCTCCACCGTATCCCGGCAAAGACCTTGGACCAGTACTATAGCAGAGATGCCTCCCACTGAATCACTGATTGTTGATCAGTGTTCCAATATTTTGGCAACTGCAGCTTTGAATAATTGAACACATTGGCCTTATGGCCTTTTTTCCCCTGTATTTATCTGTAGTCAGGTCCAATTCTTTTCTGTTGGTCAGCGTAAGTTATTTGTAGATGACTCTCGGTCACGGCAATATCTGTAATATTATGTGATGTATCGTTAAATGTCAGTTATTTGGTTGGTTTCACCTGCCAGAATTGTTAGCAAGAGCATTCTGGACCAGGATGCTCGAACACAACTGGTTGTATCTACATTTGTGAATGGTGAATAGAGGGGCAATAAACTGCAGCGAAATATGTGCTGCCTGACATTGTGAAAATTTTCTCTATTTTGCTGTTTTGACCAGAGAAGGGTGGGCCTGGTGCAAGCGATAGAGTCTTACCGTCTGTGACCGGAAGGTCCTGAGTTTGAGTCGTGGTCTCCTTGCATTGCACAGGCGAGGGTAAGGCTTGCCATTGACATCCTTTTCTAGACTCCGTATAGAGCGGGAGCTCTTTGCATTGGGCACGTCTTTTTTTTTCTTTTTGCTGTTTTGACCAAAAGTTGTTCAGATTTCACCGTTGGTCGTTTCGCTGAAATTTGGCTTATGTTGATTTGTTGTGAGGAAAATATTATTCGTTCGCTGAAAATTGCTACTAAAGTAGTGCTACAGAACAGGTGACTACTTTGACGTGAAGAGAAGAAAATGTTTTTTCTTGGATTTGCGAACAGACAATCTGATAGAGGACGTCGGGTTCGTGGTTGCTGTCATTTTGATTTTTGGCTGTGCTCCCATTCTAATTTGCCTGTATGCCTTTTTTTTATTAAGATATTACTTCCTCTTTCTTGATAATATACATTTTTAAAGCATTTATACATTCTTTTCTTCAGTATATTACCTTAATCCTAGTAAATGATTATAATTCTAGATTTGATATGAGTCAAACTAACTGAAGTTTAATAAAGTTTATAAAAAATAGTATTAATATTTATGACTAGTATATATAAAATATGAAAATATATTCTACAATGAATCTAATCATACTTATTCATTACGACTCTCTTCATTCAAAATTATTTGAGTTTTGGCTTTTGTAAGATTCATAGCTTTTATAATGCATTTATATGTACACTATGTCTAGTTGTATAGTAAAAGTAATTTAACGTCTTATAATTTATAATTGATGGAGTAATACCTTTTTATATAAATTTACATGGTGTTTGGCTCAGCATGCATAACATAATCAGATTACGGGGGGGGGGATCCAAGTCCGTTATGAGATACCCCGCAATCAAATGGCGGACCATCCATGATCGATACCGCTCCTCCGCGAGTCCAATCGTATTACGCCACTACTGCCGTAATTTGTTTCCTTTACTATACAACCAAACAAATCAAGATACCCCGCACATTCCTTGCGTGACCTGTTTCCTTTACCATCTACGTTACTCGCCAACGAACTAAACACCACCTTAATTAAACTTAACATGGTTTGACTCAACCATATGCAATTAGAATTGCATCTTATATAATTTTTTTGTTTGTACTACCTCTGTTCTATTTTATAAGACGTACAAGCATATCAAGATTCAAACTTTAAAAACTTTGACCAATAATTAGGCTAATAATTTTTAACTATTATAATACAAACTTTATATGATTAGATTTGTAAGAAATTATACTATCCAATGATTATAAGTTTATAAGCATAAATAATATAATATAAAGAAAATGAATGGTCCAATTGTAATATAGGAGACCGTGTCATTCTAACTTGCGTCAAATAAAATGGAACAGAGAGAGTAATACAAATAGCTATATACATTTAAGACCTTTTTCAAGATGAACCTAATATACTAATTACATCAATTGAAGCCCTTTTTGGTAGGGCTTTTAGGGGACCGTTTTGGCTTCCGTAGGTGAAACCTTATCAAACGTTAACTTATAAAATGGCTGTACAAGAGAAGTTATAGAAGAAATAAGTTTTTTTTTTGTATTACTAGCCAATGCCTGTGCGTTGCTACGGGTGACAAAACTATGGTAATCCAATTTGTTGCTCCCATAACATTACTGGTATAAGTGAAAATGAAATTTTAACCAAACAAATATATACGTATATAACATGGATCAATCTTGATGTAACATCCCAGGTGTTTGTCACCAGTTAAGCAATGAGTTTGAGCTCAACCATGACATGTTCAGTGGTGATGGAGATGTCAAGGTCAAACATATGGGAATGAGCCCCAACCTAAACTCAGATATTGCACCCTTGCTTTACATATAAGCCCTTTTAAAGATATATGCTTGACTGGTGTTATTGGAATATCTTCATGTGTCTCACATCAACACCCATCTATATGGATCACTGGAAAAGTTTCATGAAGATTGGAATCAAAAAGTCACATGAAATGATAAGTTATATCCTTATTGGAATGACTTTATTAAGTGCTTGAATTGCACTATTAAGTGAATGGAAATGTAGGTCATCAACCAAACCTTGCAACCTTGCCCAAATAATTCTAATTGAACTCCACAACAAAAGTCATGAAGGGTTCGTGTTGAGCCGAGATCAAGAAAATGCATCAATCGGTCAATAACTCTAATTTAAGCTTTACAGTGACGATACTTTGACCTATGTTGACCACCAACTTACAGTACTTGCATGGAGTTGCACCTTAAATAAAAGTTAAAGATTGAGTAGAGTAGAACAAACTTTGTTTTTGGAACAAGACCCAGATCAACTTGGAACTAAGTCAAACAGAGGCTCGAAAATTGAATCAGCGGCTGTTTTTAGACTTGGAATTTTTCTAAGTCTGGAATTCATCGTCGTCGCCATTGGCATTCCGCGTTCTCCGAAATTCGTTAAGCAATGGTCCAAAAATAAAAGTGGAAGGTTATATTACGGAGAAGAGCATGCAAAAAGTTGGAACCCGTTTGGCTTCGTGTTGATGGTTAATTCTGAGTTTTTCCTAATCACCGTCGTCACGCTGACAAACCAAAGTTAGGAGCATGTTATCTGCTAAACCATAACCCTAATGACCCCGAACCCTTAAGCAAAGTTGGAGAGCATCAGGTGTAGACCAAACTTCATTTTAGCCCCATGGACCAATTCGGACCCGAGCCGGCCCAAAACGGCGTCCCACCTGTAACAGAACCGACCAATTATACGAAATTAAGTAAGAAAATCATCCGCCAGAGCAGACGATTTAGCAAACTTAAGTCCGTATAACCCGGTAGTCCGTGAAATCGCGAAGGATTTCAAACCAACTCGTGTCCCAGCCATGATCGTAATAAGTTTAGCGGTCACCATCACATATTACATAAAAGTTCGCAATCTCAGATACATCGAGTTTAAACAATAATTATTCCAACCCAGTTGAAATAAAAGTAGCGGAAGTCATTTGTTCAAACCACACACACACTCACGCGGAGTTTAAATATAGTGCCAGCGAATGATCATCTCCAACAAAAGCATTAGATGAGGCGTAAGGAATGACCATGCCCATGGTCCTAAGCATCACCCATCGCAGGATAGAGGCAGTTGATACAATAGCCGTAATACATCTCGCCCATCTCGCAACAAGTGGGAATAAAACCACGAGTACGAGAAGGTACTCGGCCGGATTTTACCCGACATAACCGAAAAATAAGTGACACCAAGGATTATGAAGGGCTTTATAGTAGGGTAGTGACTCATTTGAGAAAGAAGCATTTTTAGCATTTCGAACTTTTGAAAGGCATTATTGTCAACTTAATTATTATTAACCTATCGACTAGATTTGCATCTATACTAGAGTAAACATGTGATTAAGCAATTAATGATAACCACCGATCATTAAACAACTTCCATCTTGTCATATTCACTATAAGCTGTCCAAGTGTTCCATAAACATTTACTACGATGAAGTCACTCAAGTCAAGTGCTCACTATCCGGGGCGATGGCGATTCGAATCGATTCCTAACCGGTGGTGATTTATTCCTTACACAAATCTCACTCACCCGCTAAAGTGAGATATTGATCACCGAGTCAACTTTCCGGTATCTCGAGTTTGCCAGAACCACATGTACCGGGGCCGACCGATTGCACTTTGGTCTTATCATCCCCGCCCGTGTCCTACCACACTGCTCAAGCCAAGACAAGGCTGCGGGCAATCTACTCGGCCCGAAAAAATCTCCCGGCCCAGCGGTCGGAAGGTACTTTATATCCGCCGGCTAAATGTAAGGCATGTTCAACATGACTCGAGGCCCAACAACGGTCGGTCCTTAATCGACACTGACGGAAACACTACTGGTCCAAAACTCTACAAGTCTCTCGCCCGGTCTCAACTTCATTTAACACTTAGTTATACCATGACTTCATAGCCATCCAAGTAGATCTAGGTAACCACCTATAGCTCGCAGTGTGGTGAAATCACCCGACTTCTACCGGTCTAAGCCAGCTAAGCATTGACTCGATCATTGCGGATACCGGGGTAACAAGGATATAGTATAACAAAAGGTAAACAAGGTATAATGCAAAGAACGGTTGCAAACAACTCCTGAACGTAATGCATCAATTTAAGTAAAGTATTTAATGAAATCATTGCAAACCGGAGAAAGATGATGCTCGGGGCTTGCCTCTCTCGAAGGAGCTCGGACGGTGATCGGGGCACTCCGGAAGTTCCTCAACGTCCTCCTCCTCGCTAAACCACGGCACTTTCGCTGCTGCACTCGAGCTGCTCCTCGGGCTCCTCGGGAATGACGATTGGGTTCTCGGTTTGCGATCTGTATGATGCAATGCGTGTAAGTGCCTATGCAATCGGTGCATCGAAGGAGATGAATGCAATGGATATGTTGAAAAGCAAGGTAGTCACATCATCCAAGAAAATATACTACAAGCACATGTCATCTACGGCATTCTCTTCTACTACTAATAGGTTAAGTCAACACATCTTATTAAATGCTTCAAAGATACACCAAAGCTAACATTATTAACTAACTTGCATT